CCTGTTGTGCTGGAGCGCTGGAGCCTGCGCTGAGGAAGGCGACTTCAGCCAAATTGGCGCAGCTGGAGAAAGGAAACAGAGGGGTCAGTCCCACCTCCTGCCTGGCCAAGGGTGCACCATGCAAGAGAGAGCAATTCAGATGTGGAGACTCAGCACTTGAAGCACTTGGATGCCCGGGAACAGTAGGAAACTGGGAGGCAGAAGATTGTCAGACTCATGACATGTATTGCAGGCAGGCACTAGATGGCAGGGGACCGGCATCCTAGAGTGCTGCTTGGAATGGGGCCACACTCACAGTTCCCAAATGCAGGGAGACTTAAGCTCAGAGGACCACTGATGGGCTTCACACGCCCATTCCCCTGCTATGAAAACGTCCAAATGCAGCATCACCCTTCCGAGCCCTGCATTCTGCCCCAGCCTAGGATTGCCATACCCAGCCCATAAGTACTCACCCTGGCAGCCTGGCACTGGAATTCCTATCGGCAAGTCACTGAACGCTGCAGGACCTGCACTGACTCAGGGCGAGCAGTGTCAGCCCCTCTGGGATCCTGCTGGATCCTCCTGGGTGCTGCCACCAACCCTCTCAGCCTCAGACATCAGGTAGAGCAGCCTGACGTGAGCCACTGCATTCCAACTGCCAGCCCCCAAATCCAGCCAGCTTTGGGAGGTGCTGCCCCCAGCCCCAGGCTTAGCAGGAACTCCTTCCCTGGATGGGCTTGGCACCACCACCCCCGGGCACCGGCACTGGGATTCACAGTCCCAGCTGCCAAAACTCCTCCGAGTGCAGCAGAATTGTCTCCCTGGGGCATCTGCTCTGGGATTCCTCCCTTTCCCTATCCCCACCCAGCCGAATACAGCAGGGCATATACATAACCCGTTTTCACTAACACCCGGGGTTCGTGTTTCCTGCTGCCAAACCAGTAATGACTGCATCTCTGCCTCTTGGACCGTGAACTCTGGGGTGTTCATGGCCACTGAGAAAAATACAGGTGTGGTGTGCCCAGGGCATCACGCAGTGGGGAGGTGGGGGGGAAGGGGACTCTCGCTTCCAGTGCCTGAACTCGCTCTGCTCAGTGCTTGGAGATAGCTGCTAGCTAGTTCCGTGGTCCCAGATCACAGTCTCGTATCAGTAGCTGTCACCACAGCCCTTAGTGCCGGCTGGGAGATTAAAAAATGACAGCAAACCTAGCATTCCTTCTCTGCAAGGAGGGCTGGGTCCTCCTCGGGTTTGTTTTGATTTTTTCATCACTATTTCGAGTGGAATCGTTGCAGTGGGGGAGCTGGGCGAAGCAAGGATTTGCATGAAGCTCTCGGTGCTGCGGGGTTGCTAATGGTGAGCGTTATTTCAGCCAGCAGTAAGTTTCATAATCTTGGCCCAGCTCTTGTGAATGTTCCATTTTTCAGGGTCATGAGCCTCTTTACCCTTCTTCCATCCCTTCCCCCTCTCCCCAAACTGGTTGGCAATTTCATTGTTCCAGTGGAATATATCCGTCATGTGAGGTCATCGCTGCATAAGGAGAGGTGATTGATTGCTTAGGTCACTGGGGCCTGTCCCATGCTGGGCTTTGAATGCTGGTTTGGAGACCTTGAACCGGACTGTGTGCTCAAAGGCGAGGCGATGTGGGGTGCAGAGGGGCACGGTGATGCATTCCCGGCAGCTTGAGTTGCCGAGCAAACAGACTGCTGCATTCTGAACTAGCTGGAGCGCTCTGAGAGCAGACAGCTTCATTCCTAGAGGCACAGTATCACAGCAGTCAAGCTCTAGATGTTACAAAAATACAGATAGATCATCATCTGCCAGCTGAGCCAGACAGAATCGGGTGCAACTCTTTTCCCATCCCCGAATGGAAGGAGCCTCTACCCGCTCCTCGCTAACACGGCTTGTGTGCGCTTGGCTTCATCCAACTGCTCTCCAGTCAGAGCTGATCTCGGCTAGGCATTGAGAAAGCTGTGAGATTCTCAGATTTTAAGGCCAGAGGGACCATTTTGATCATCGAGACTGACCTACAGCAGAGCACAGGCCAGAGAATTTCACCAATTTAATTTCCTGTGCCAAGCCCATAACTTCTGATTGAACTGTAGCATCTCTTTTAGGAATACAGCCAGGCAAAGGCTGCAGGCAGTAGGGAACACACCACCTGCCTAGGTGAATTGTGCTGGTGTGTGACCCTCTTTATTAATAGTATTGTTCCTCATTTGAATTTGTCAAACTTCAGCATTTTGTAACAGAAGGTTACAGATTGCACTTGATGCGAGGCAGCTACGGCACACGGCTTGCACCTTGATTCTTTTATTCCTGTGATGCCTTTTTTATTTGGATAGGATTTATCTATGGCATTAAGGTATACAAGAATCCTGAACACGGAGAAGGAGTTATCGTAAGCGAATCCTAGGGCTTTCCTGGGGCACAGTAGTATCTGAACTCCAGAGCTCGGGGTGTCACATTCAGGGTTTAGTCAGAGCTCCCTGCTCTGAGCAGGAGTGCAGCAGGCTCTGCTCCTTAGCCATTAGGTAGGATGTCAATTCCCAGCTGCCCTTGGTGAAACACTACATATGCTTTGGGGCATGGCTACTGAGATCTGCTCTCTCATGTCCCAGCAGTGGCGGGTCCGTGCTGCAGGAGACTTACAAAGAGGGAGGAAGCACAGATGGGTGTGGGGAACAGCAGCAGGATTCCTGCTTCCAGCCTGCAAATGCATGAGAGCAGCTCCTAACAGATTAGCTCCAGTCTGGAGTGATGGTGGGGTCCATATGCAGTAGCAAAGAACAGTGTAATTCTTACTCGCTGCTTTCGAGCACCAAGATTCACAAACTGAGCTCAATGAAGTGCCCCAGGGAAATAGCTTTGTCATTCACACTCTGTCATCTGTGCATCACAGGTCTGGAACGCTGAGATGAAGGCTCTGTACCTAGAGTGAAAGTATGCAGGTTTCTTGATCAGACTCTGGGAGCAGCCCTGTCCAGTTTTATTGCCATTAGACCTGGGAAACACGTATGAAAGCAAGAGCATTGCCATGAGGTACTGGTACAGAAATCTAGTCTCCCTGCTCTGGCACACAAAGGCTTCTTGAATGGTATGAGGTGGGATTTATACTCCCAGGTAGTAAGAGCATTGGCATCCCCTCCTCTGCTCTGAAGGTCTACCAGTTTATTCAGGATCCACACTGGGACCTGCATCCAGAGCTGAATGAAGGGCATGTGTTACTCCTGCCCTCCAGCACAGCAGGGTCGGTGCCCAGGACACAATCCCACTGCTGGTGGCTGACCACAGAGTGCCCCAGACATGCTTTGTCTGCTGTTTAATCAATAATCCACAGGGACATTTCAAACATAAACGCTCCAAGCACGGTGGAATCCAGCCTGCACTGCCTGATATTTTCACTGGAGACCATCCTTTGGTCTCACACCTTCCATGCCATGTCCTGCTCCCAGCTGCTCCACAATCAGTCCTGGGTGTGCCAGTGCAGGACACATTCTGTCTCTGGCCACGATCTCATTAACAAACCAGTATCTGTTTATGGAGACCAATCAACTTTGCATCATTCCTGCACTCACCTGGAGCCACCTTTGGAGTGGGGGCATCCAGAATCACCAGCTCTTCACTCTGGGCAGCAGAACCCATGCACAATAGTGTCCTCAGTCCAAGGCTTGCACCCTCATGTATGGGCTGTCCTCTCCTCAGCACCATGTGCACGTGAGGCGGTTGGTGCTGCAGCTCACCCCTCCTCAGCTCATTCCATACTTTATCTGCTCCATAGGGCTGAAATTTAGACTACCGTGTGTGAAAGCCATCCAGGATTTGGCTCTGTAGGGTTTCTTATTCCCAGGTTTTCAACCCTGGATGTCCATAGACCGGGATGTCATTCCCGAAGCTCACAATCTCAGCTTTGAAGAACAGTGATGTCTCCATTATGAGACCTCCCAACAAGCGAGGAGAGCACAGCAACCCCACATTCCTACCCCCAGGCACACTTCTGAGGGTAGAGCCATTGCTGTTAGGAGTGCTAGAGGTTATACGTGCACCATTGCTGTACCACACTTCTCCGTGGGGCTGGCACTGAGGTCTACCTGTACCTGGAGAAGGCTGCCCCTGCTGGCATGGCACAGTCCAGCCCCACATCTCTCCTGCTTCCCAATGCAAAACAGCCCCCAGCCCCCGAAGACTTGAGCTGACTGAGAGTGCCGTGCCACAAGTAGGCTCTTCATCCCAGGGAACTGCTGTCCCTGTGGTGAGTCCTAGTCATGGCCCCAGGCACTCCAAGCCACCTTGAAACCTCTCCTGCAACTTGTGTGTGCTCTAGCCTGGGGATTCACACGAGGAGGTCCTCCATGCTTGGAATTCTCTCCCTTTCAAAGTCCAGAATAAATTCTGTCATGGATTTGTGTTGCCAGACATGATCTTCCACGGCATCGTGATCATAATCCAGATGGCCAAGATCTCGCCAGTATCTGGCTTCAGAAGAAACTTGCTCCATTCTGCTGCCTCTCTGCAGAGCTGCATTTTAATACTGAGTCCCCTCCAAGGCTTAGAGGTTCAGGAGCAAAGAACAAAGAAATGCTGAGAATAGCTGCTCTTTTCTCCTCATCTTCGTCTCAGGATCCCTCCAGAGACTGATCTTGCCCCGGAGGGAGGGGCAGGGCACATTAGCCAACAATTCTTTTTTTTTCCTGTGAACTTTGTTTAAATATTTAACAGAAGGAAACTAAAAATATCCCCAGTTAATGCAGCAGGAGCTAGATAGCTACTTAGTCTTGGGTGCCCTTCCTCCTGGCCCCTCTTCTCAGGTGTACATCACAGCAAGCCCTGGGCTCTTCCCTCAGGAAGAGGAAGCCTCCCACCGAGGAGGGGCTGCAGTTTTTGTTCGGGGCATGGGGTGCGCAGGGTCGGATGGTGGAAGCCGTGAGGTGCAGCACAGCTGGCTCAGGGCTGGAGGGGCAGGGTTGGCCTCTGCATTGACTCTCTCAGCCAAGCATCCCTGTTTCTCCATCCCGGCAGCCACGGGAGGGCATAATTGTGGGTTGTTGGCATTCACGCTTTCCCCTTCACGATGAAGGAGCAGGCTGAACATCTCGCATGATTTTTTTTTTTTTTGTCCTGTGTGTGCGTGCGGCTGCAGAGAGGATCCGGGGTCAGGCACATAAGAGCTCACCGGGGAAGGGCAGGCACGGTGCCGTGCCCAGCCAAGGGAAGGGGTGGGCAGCGTGAAGGGCAGCCGTGCCACCACCAGGCTGGTGCTAGAGAGTGCTGAGCGTCCAGGGCAGAAATCCGGCTGAGAGGACCTGACCTCACTCCGTGCTTTTGTTGCTCAGCCGTGGGAGGTGGGAGAGAAAAAGGAGGAATAGGGGAGAAAGGGAAGTATGGGACAGTGCAGAGGACATTAAGACAAGGAGTGTGGGAAGGTAATTTTGTGTTAGCTAAGAGAAAAGTAAATACTAAATATTTGATAGGCATATTTTTTCTCTTAAATTCTTTAGTGAGGCTGGACTTTTTCTCGCTGATTCACTCTTTCTCAGTCGTCTTGGTTTACCATTCCCGTGCTTCCCCTCTCGCTCCCTCGCTCTGGCACACAATGAAGAGGCTCTTTTTTAATAAATGGATTACACACTCCACACTATAAATAAACACAGGAATTAAGACTCCAACTTGTTCCAGTGATAAGCAAACAAAGATGCTGAATTCCACTCTCGGCCCTCAGACAGGAGAGTCCCTGGGGAAGCTGCGCATGTGCCCGGGCACGTGTGCTGGAGAGATCGCTCCTTGCTTTTGTGAGCATATACTAACGCACGTGTTTTGGGGTGGACTTGGCATCGGGGCGGGGGATGACGATGCACCTCCATGCATGGAGGGCAAGGGAGCAGGAGAGGGTGCACATGTGTGTGCATGGACTCCCCTTATCCTGCCTGCCGGGGCTGGGAGCTCACCTGGGGTGGCAAACGCTGCCCGCAAGGGGAGAGCTGTCACCACTGTGTGAGGGGACACTGACACCCCTCCCTTTTGGTTGCCAGTGAAGAAGATGAGACAAGATCCTGACTGAGCAAAGACACTGTTGCATCTGAGATGGAACCCAGTGCCTGGTAGGTTCACAGCTTCCCACACTGGCAGGTGAGGCGGGAAGAAAACAGGAGTGTGGGTGGTGGCTGCTCCCGGCAGCTTGGCCTTTCAACGGGAGAAATGTTTAGATCAGGCTCTCTTCTTCTTCCCCCCCACCCCACAGCAGGATGCCTCCACTCCTCTCCCGCATCCACTCCCTGCAGCTGTGGCATCTCCTCCTCGTTGTCCTGGCCGTCCCTCCTCCTGGCACATGGTCTCTTCGCTCTCGGGGCCCAGCAGCCCCTCGGCCTCTTTGCACTCGCCGGAACCCCTCGGCCCCACGCTCCATTTGCATCTGGGAAAGGACCTCGCAGCCGGAGCGGGATTCCCGTTCGGATTCCCGCTCGGATTCCCGCTCGGGCCTGCCGCGCCAGCGTGGCCTGCCCGCGCGAGGAGCAGAGCTGCGGCACGTGGTGCGGCTGAGGCGCCAGGCCGCGGGGGCCCGGCCTGCCACCCCCTCCGGGTTCGAGGATGGCATGCCCTCCTCCCAGTACCCCTGGGCCATCGTGTGGGGTCCCACGGTGTCGGATGAGGATGGAGGGGACACAAACTCGGCCAACCCAGGCTTCCCACCGCTGGGATACACCTTTGTCTCGCCGCACGGGATGGCGACGGCGCAGCCCAACTCCCACTCGCTCCTGCACAACGCGGGGCTCAACCTGCGCGAGACCCCAGCCACCCTCCGGCCCTTCTTGTTCGGGCCCCGGGGAGAAGGTAAATCTGCCCTTTGCTTCTTTCAGCCCCGGTCCCCTGCAGGAGCAGCTGCTTCTGCAAAAGTCGTCAGGAACCTCCCCTTTCCCTGCTGCTCTCTGGGGACCGGAGGGAGTGACCATCACAACCCCCACTCCTTTGTCTCACAGGTGTGGATCCCCAGCTGTACGTCACCATCACCATCTCCATAATCATTGTCCTGGTTGCCACTGGAATCATATTCAAGTTCTGGTGAGTGGGGTTTGGGCCAATGGAGGCTCTCACTCCATTGGGCCGGTGTCTACAGGAGGACTGTGGGCTTGGGATCCATTTGTCCCAGGGGTGCAGATCTGGTGCTGCAATCCCTTGCAAGGTTTGGCACTCAGCCATGCTGGGCTCTAATTCTGAGTGTAGCAGGGTCCATCCCACAAACCTCTCTGTCATCAAGGGCTGGGGCTTGTCTCTTTCCTCACACCTTGCTCTCTCCACAGCTGGGACCGAAATCAGAAACGCCGGCGTCACTCGGGGCAGCAGAGCAGTGGGAGGCAGCAAGAGAGCCAGCAGCCCCTCACAGACCTCTCCCCCACCACCGTCAGCATCCTGGGGCCCTATGGAGACCCCCTGACCCCCACACCTGAGGCAGAGGAGTCCAGGCAGGGCCAGGAGGGTGCAGAGAAGCTGGGTGGCCATGGGAAGAATGCAGCCTTCCAGCTCAACCGGTGAGTGGCCAGTGAGCTGGGGCAGGAGGGGCTGGCAGGGGACACAGGGACAGGCACAGTGAGGCAGGGTAAAGGTGACATTGGCTAGCGGGAGTCAGGGGTTGGGGCAGCATAAGCACTAATTAATTTCCAATTCCCTCTTTCCCCCAGAATCCCACTGGTGAACCTGTGAAGCTCCCAGGAGAGGCTGAGCCGGCTCCCCCACCCTCCTGTCACAGCTGGCGAGTGCGGACTCTCGCCACCTCTGCTACCCCAGGAAAAAAACAACCTCCTTGTGCCACGGCCCACCACCACCATTATTAACTAACCGCACCGGGATGTGCCTGGGCAAATGGACGAGCTGGGCCTCCTCAGCCTCCTGCTGGGGGAAGGTTGGGGACCCGCCCTGCCTACGCAGGACAGGGTGACCAGAGAGCAGAATGGTGGGAGGGAACCACAGCTGGTGGTGGTGTGATATCTTGACCTCCCCAGCCCCTCTTCTAGCATATGTGCACAGACACACTTGGATCTCCATGACTCTCTCACCAGTGCATGCCTGACATTGGGGGTAGGCAAGGTGGAAAGGCATACCCCTGTCCCCGTGGGCCCTCACCCTCCGTGTGTCCCTTCCCATGTTGTGTGCTTTGCAGTGAACGTCTGGAGTTCAGTGGCTGCAGGATTGCCCGCCAGGTGACTCGGATGGTGGCAACTTTGTCTGTTCCTGAGACCCGAGAGTCCCAAGGGTGGGTGAAGCTTGGGCAGAAGAGGCTCACTGAGCACCTGGGCCCTCTCAACAACCCATTTCCTTGAAGGAAACATTATCTTCCCCCTAGACAGAAGATATTCACATCTTTCCAGTTTCTTTCTGCCTAACATTCCTTTGGGATTTTTTCTCTTCAGCTTATATTTTTCTTCCTCTCTCCGTCCACAGTTTTTTCCCCTCAGTTCCCACCCCCATGCCACTTCTCCTGCCAGTTAAAGTTGGAAAAGATTCCTCTAGCTTTCCAAATGTTTTGATATATTGAAAGCCTCCTTGCTGTCCCTCTCCACCCCTTCAGCCTCCTTCAGCAAGGTTTTTCTGAATAACACCAGTCTATGAATAATATGAGTAACACCTTTCCAGAGGTGAAGCCCTCTGCTCACCGTGTTATTTAGCAAGTGTCCTGTACACAGCTAAAGTGTGGAATGCAGACATTGCTGGGCATGAGGAACTTGAATTTTTCTGAGCTCTGAAAGAGATTTGCTTTCAGATAATCCTTGCACAGGCAACGAGGCAGCAGACAGGACTCTGCGCTTGGGATGACCAGGAGCAATTTAGAGTTGATCTTGGCAACATTGGAAGGGTTGCCACGTCCTGCTGGTAGGTCTCTCCTGGATTGCAAGGTGACTGGAAGCCCACAAAGCAGTGCTCACCAAGGGCATGAGAGAGAGGTGTCTGGGCTCCCAGGTGAAGCTTCATTCAGTTCCCCAGCTGGTCAGAAACTGAAAGCAATGGCACAGGTATCTGTCCCGATTGGTTGCCTGTGCATATCCTTCGGAGCTGTGGTGGTCTATGGGGCTGGCAGCCACACTGTCACTTCCCTGTGTGAGCAAGATCCGTGCATCTCCACCTCTTCAGAGGCATGGACTCATGGGTGTCACTTTGAGGACGTGTGAGATGGAAAATTTCAGCTTAATGACAATAGTTCCTCTTAGCTTTTATGGACACCTTCAAATTAATTAAAACCCCACACTGACAAAAGGTGAAAAGATGCACATTTAGATCAGGTTGCCCCTACAGTGTACAAACACCTTCAGCTGCTGGGCTGATGTGGCCAGAGGCAGGAAAATCACCCACAATTTGAAGGCCCTAATTCACCATACAAGGTCTCTGACGAAAGTCATCTTGGAGAGAGGGAAGTGGCCTTTCATCCTTTATCTCTGCATTAAAAGCCTGTTCTTTATAGGACAAAGCACAGGGAATTTCATAAGAGGCCTGGTTCTGCCTGTTTACCCAGCTGAACCATTAGGTGTTCTCGGGTCCCTTCTGACTCACTGTGAAGGGCATTTAAATGAGAGTGTAAATTACAATAAGCTTCCCAAAAACAGTAGAGATTTGGAGAAAATGACAGGTCAAATAAAATTACTGGCTTATTAAAAGCACAGAGTGGCTGAAAGATGTAGGTGGAAAAGGACTCTGGAGATCTCTAGTCTAAGCACAGGTTGAGTCTGTGCTTACAGCAGGGGATATTAGTGCTTTACCGTAGATCGATCTGTTACTGAGCCTGTTCCTATTTAGGATCCATGCAAGGATTTGGTGGACATTTAAGCTGCAGATGGACAGGGAAGGACCAAGCAGCAGTTCCTGCTTGCTGCCCCATTTATTGCTGCCCCTGTTCCCCCTCTCCCTGGCACCTCCCTGCTGGGGAAGGACATCTGCAGGAGGCTGCACTGATGATTGCTGGCAATTTACAATACCTTGAACTGGCTGAAGTAATCTTCCAGACCAGATTAATTAGATTGTTCTTTGATCAACAGCATTTGTTGAAACAAGGCCAGAGTTTAGACTCTTCTACTTCAATGGCTGTCCTTGGACTTTCTCTTTCCACATGCTGCATGGAGAGAAGGTTTGTAAGAAAGTGGCAGGGGTCCGCAGGAAGCATAGTGATAATATTTTCCAGCACTTGATGCGGGGAAGCCCTGTGCTCTCCTGGGAAGGCTTTTGTAAATTTGGCAAACAAAACAGATTTTGGTTTAGGGTTTTTTCCTCCCCCTTTTACATGTCTCTGGTTTTGGTAAAAGTATCTCTGGGGAGTCAAACCTTTCATGGATACTGTGGAAAGGGGAAAGCTGGTGAAGCTGTGTAGAAAAAACTTACAACAACAGAGGCTTGGGTATAATGAATATCTTTTCTAAGAACAATTTTCCTAGCCAAATACATTTTTATGATAGTCATTCAATCTCTCACACGAAACAGGTTAGATACAGGGAAACAACTTCATTGTCCTGCCCAAACATTCATTGCTGTGCTTTGTCCCTGGAACAAAACACTCAGAACGCATGTGGACACACAAGCTTCTTCCAGTCAATAAATAAATCGCATTGGATCTGTTTTCTCCATGACTGGAGCCTTATAAACCATCTTCCCCTACACAGACTGGAGTCAGAGCATGCCTGAGGTCTCTACCCTGGCCCAGGGTAATATTTTGTAGCATGTGCACTTGGATGGGCTGACAGCACTGAGTACCAAGCCAGGGCAGAGGACAGCACCTTCTTAGTCACAGCCCATCAGGTTTCCCTGTCTTCTAGGTGAATGGAGGTGAAAGATTTTTTCTTCTTTCCATTAGAAATGGAAAGGCTTTTTCTTTCCATGAGAGAGAAGAGTGTGCAGGGAGACCAACTGGAAGTGTTCATAATCTTGGGTTAATTCTGCCAAACATCTCTATGCTATTTAAAGGGACCATCTAGGTGGGCCGAGTGAGATGAAGTAACTGTGTCTCTGCTGAGCTCCTGGAGAGCCCTGGCTTTTTGAACACAAGGGTGATCTCTCTGTGAGCACAGTGAAAGGGAGGGAAGTTCCTGCTTTGAAGTAGGAACTGGAGTCTTCTTCTCTTTACCCAAGAGAGTGGTATGACCACAAGGCTAAATCCTGCTTGGGCTTTGCCATCTGGTTGGTTGCAACTGGTGGGCAGCAAGCAGACTTCTGGTGTGTGCTTCCACACCTCTCCTCCAGTCCAGTTTCCTGGGACTCACATCCAGCATCCCAAAATTCAGAGAGGGCTATCTACCTCTTCCTCAATGGCACCCAAGTGCCCTTGCAAATCTGGTCCCTTCATTTCTCACTCCAGTTCCCAATGAAGAAAAATATTCGGAAAGGAGTGGTTCGTTCACTTCCTGCAAGTTCTCAAACAGGACCACGTTGAGACTGTTCTGAATTAAACCGTGGTTTTGTTTTTTCACTCTGACAAACCACATCTGTGGCACAGCCTTAGAGCTGAGACCTGCAGCACAAAAATCCTGAGTCAAACTCCAGCTCCCCAGCTGCAACCCTGCTAACGTCCCACTGTAGTCCTGGCCTTACCCTGGCAGGACCATAGAGAGAGAGGCCCCTTCCTTCACCAACTGCTGGCTCTCTACTCCTCTTTTCCTGTTGTTTTCCCTCTCCCACTGTTTTCCCTCTTCCCACTCTTGTCCTGTACCATGGTTCTCCCTCCTGGTTCTCTCTCCCCTCCTATTGTTTCGCTCTCCCTACTCCTCTCTTGCTCTCCCTTTGCCACTCGGTCTCGTTCTGCCGCGGCTTCCATCCTCCCCTCCAGCCTCCCTCCTGCTCCTCTGCTCAGTCTCGCTCTTCCCCCTCCCCTGCCCTTGTGCGCTGTGATATATATTTTTGTAGGATTTCTCTTCTCCTTGTGGTGAAATATTCAAATCTTGTGGGATGTTAGTTTCAACATTTTTAAATAAAACTTTGCAAAATATTGAAAGCAGACCTCTTGCTTCTGTGGAAGGTGTCACACTGGAAAAGTCAGGGTGGAATGAGAGGGACTGCACCCTAGGCAGACCACTTTGGGATGGGGGTTCAGACTGTTGGCATCCCACATTCTCTTTTTGGGAGTAGAGGGGGCAATTTGGCCCCGTGTCCATCTTACCTTGGTCTCTGCCGACCAAAGGGGCCCTTTGACCACCCTCACACATTTCCATGGGAGGTGGCTCCTGGTGGAGGAGAAGCCCTTCTTCACCCACTTCCCCAGCCAAAGCTGCTGTCCTGCCTCTGGAGCTGCTGCCTGCCAGGCACGCTCCGGGGCTGCCTGTCACGCTGGGGGCCAGCCTGTCCTGGAGAGGTGACAGGAGCCGAGGGGAAGGGAGGGACATGGAGCGTTGCAGGCGCAGAAGCCTCCCTCACTTTGTTCCCCGCGGCTGCCTCCGCAATTTCTATTTACAGCCCTGCTGCCTCCCCTCCTGGCCACAGTGCTGCTGCTGTTGCTGGTTTCCAGGGCTGCTCTGTAATTAAGCATCCTTGTCTCCTGCAACTCCTCCACTTCACAAGCCCAGCGGCAATCGGGGCTGGGGGCGCACCAGGCTTGATGGCCACTCCAAAGGGCTGCTCCCTGGCAATGGTCGGAAGACTGCTGGGGATGGGGATGATTCCCAGCCCCTACTCCCTCTGCCCTGAATCCTTTGGGTATTGGAGCTGTCCCTGATCCTCTGCTTTGTTGGAGGAAGGAGCAGGCTTTGCAGACCAGACCTGACCTCAGACTCTAGGGTTTTTGCCCATGGGAAGGACCCTTCCTGTTGCAGGGCCAGGCCCCTCCACATGGCACCCTGTGCCCTGGACAGGATCTCTTTGGGCTGAGGTGCCCTGGACAGGATCTCTTTGGGCTGAGGTGCCCTGGGCAGGATTTCTGTGGGTTGGTGGTGGCCCCAGGCCCATCAGAGAGCAGACATACTCCTGTGGTGGCTGTCCCGGGGTACAGACACACAAAAGGCTGAACAGCACCTCTTCCGCCCCTGTGCTGAGTGTGGGAGGGCAGAGACTTCCAGCCCTGTTGCTTTAGGTGGAAGATCATCTCCAGTCAACAGCTTTGGGGCTGGGCAAGCCAGAGAGACTTGACAGAGGTGGCAACAGGTTCTCATTTTGCTGACATTACACTCATGTACTCATTGGTGAGGTGAGATGTTTTGCACAAACCTCATCTGCTTCCAGCCAGAGCTTCAGCCCTTCCTGCTGACTTCTCTCTGTCATCAGATGCTTTTCCTCTGGTGCCCTCTCTGCACAGGCTGGGGCTGCAGACACTCAGCCAAATATACCCTTTTTCACCAGGACTCACTCACTCTGACTCACAGGAGAAGCTCCACAAGCTACCCCTCATTCTTGTGGCTTCCTGAAACACTGACTCCCTGGTCTAGTTCCCTCCCCTCTCATCACCACTCCCCACTACATCACTTTTACCCCCCTGCCCATGTTGACTTCACACCCTTCCAGTCTGGTCCTAGCCCTGTCTCCTTTTCCAGCATCTCCATTCCTTTCCAGTTTACAGCCTTGCCTCCTTCCCTAGCATCTCCCCCACATCCTGTTCTCCAGCAGGGAGCTAGCACAGGGAGTTGCATTCTGAACGAGGACAGCAGAGATGGGAGGAATGAATGCAATCATTTAAATCAAAGAAGAATATACAAAACCTGTACAATGACTTCAAGACACATAAAAATCACCCTAATGAGTGGTCAAAAAACAAGCATGAGGTGTTGCTGACCTCTGTGATTACCTGGGAAAGAAAGTAGTTCAGAAAAACATTTTGAAAACATCTCCAAAATCTGGGATTCCCTCCAACTGAATGCCTTCTGTAACCTGCTCTAAATTATCCCATGACAGGAAAAAAATCAGGCAACTATCAGCTGGAAGAGTCTGTATTGCAGGCATGTGGCAGCAACCAACAACACTTGCTTACCTCCCCTGCTCAGGGACCTTCTCCAGAGCTGGAAGTTAGGACTTCATGTGCTCTGGCTCTGCCCTCCTCCCCAGGCCTGTGCTGCTGGATATCATTCCTTTGTTCTCCTTTGCAGTGCACCTTGCGAGAGAGCCATCCCGACACTGTGGGCACGAGGGGAGTGGTGGGAAAGCACCTGTGGAGCTGTGGGCATCCCTGTGCTCCTCGAGGAGGGTGTGGAGCGGGCATGGCAGCACAGAAAAGCTGTGCTAACTCAAATGTGGAGCCTTTGTGCAGGGGGACTCGAGTGCTTCAATCACAGGTAGCTCTGCACTCTACTAAAGGGACCTGGCTCTGTGGATGGCCATTTAATTAGGAGAAATGCACAACTTGAAACTGCCATAAAGAGTCGCCCTGAAACAAGCAACCTCTCATTTCAGCATCATGTAAAAGAGTTGAGTAGTTCCCTTGGTTCATTCCTGCTTTGATCCTTAGAGGCAGAATTGAATCTTTATTGAGGGCTGCTGTGTCTCCGAGTGCACATTGCACTCAGTGAATAATAGGCCATTCAGTGACGCATTCCACATTGATCCAAAGCCCAGTTTTCTCTGGGAGTGACCAGAATACAAGCAAAACCATCTTCAGCCTCAGATCAATCCTCACAAGGGATATGGCAGGGAAGCAAATGCCAGTCTCTGCTCCAGGGCCCTGTCCTGCCTCTCTGTGGTTTCTAGTTAGCGTTCAAGTGGCAGGAGAGCAGACGCTCTAGGGCAGCCAGTCTCGTTTGAAGCTCAGACTTTGTCGACAGCTGGACATACCACAAGGGTTGAACAAGCAAGCAAACAAACAAGCCTGGGGTGACTTGTTTTCTATCAGAGGAACATGGTGTGGTGCCTACAGCAGGCACTGGTCAAATCTGAGTTACAGCCTGGCCTGGCTAGGGAGCCAGTTGGTTTCCTTGTTAGTTTGCCTATGAAAGGATGCACCAGAATCACAGGCATCGTGATTCTCTCAGGTGCTCTCTAAGCCTTGGTAAAGTGACACCCACTGCAGAAGCTTTCTGAGCTCTTCTCAAACCAAAGGGCAGTCGGTGGTGGGTGTCTCTGCTGTGCCAGGGGAGACAATCTAGCCAGGTTAAGACACAGTTTTGCCTGAATGAGTTCATTCACCAAAACATGAATGAAGTGGTTAAACACACCTACAGTGGAGGTTTGTGCCCATCTTATTATGTTGATTCAGACACATTTGGCAATACCAGGATGAGTTATCTAAGCCTGAAGTGGTTTCTCTCCCATGCTTTTTCTGCTTTGCCAATTCCTTTCTTATGTGACACATTACACAAATCACAAACATCACACAAATGAGATCCGACGCTCTGTGTACCCTGCGTTGGCTGGATACACAGCAGGAACCCTAAGAGGTTTCCTTATAATGAGATTTCTCTTATGCCAAGCATCAGGGCCTCTATGACAAAACTGAAGACCAAATATATTGTCCTGGATAAATGTGGGTTTCTTGTATCTACTCACACTGGCCAGCTTACATGTAGCTCTGTATGCACTGCAGTAATTCTCAGCACAGGATATGGGGAAAGGACAAATTATCCCCTTGTACCTGCACGTTAGAGGAGGGCTGGGACAAAAGAATAACACTGCCTCTTCCAGGGTTTTGGTGACAGTTCTTTGTTGATACCCAGGCAGTCCTGCAGAGAGAAACAAGTTGCCTAACTAAAATATAAGGAGCTGAGGCTGTCAAGCAAAGGCCTAAAGAGAGGTATGAGGGAGCAGGAATATGAAGGTGGACAGGAAAAGGCAGGGTGAGGAGAGAGTGGGCAGAACCAGAAATTGTGGTTGGGATTAAATGATGGGGCTGGAAGGAGAAGTAGGATGAAAGGCAGGGAACAGAATAGAAATTTAGAGCTAGGGGGCATTAAAAGCATTGCGTAAATGAAGACAAGGTGGGTGAAGCAGGGCTCTGGGAGCTCACTGGGACCAGGATTATGTCAGAAGTGAAGCCCCAGTTTAGCCTGAGCACTTACTCAGTTCTCCTGATCCTTCCAGCTGTTTCAGGAGCAGCAGTTGAATCCTCCCCTGCCTGCCTGCCTCCTGGGGAGGGGAGGAAAGGGAAAGCACATGCTCATGGGTCATCCCTCAGAGCTCAGCCTCATTGCTGCAGTGCTGACCCAACCCATGTGTGAGAGCTGCAGGACTGTCAAAAAATGTAGGTCAGGGGCTGAAAGTCCCTTTTGCAGGTTTAAAGGTCTCAGCCCTCTGATGTTTGCTCCAAAGGATGATACATTCCCACTTAAGGGACGTTGTTCCCTTTTCTTCCTTCCTTATCTATGTTAGTTGTCTGGCCATCATTTTCCAGGAGCTGAGAAGTGTCCACTTCATGTAACCTACAGAGGCACCAAGAACTGAGCCATAGGGATCGTGCTCTGAACACCCACACCACCGATACCACCAAAAATGAGGCTGTCAGAGTCTGCTCTTGTGCTCCCAGAGCCAGTCTTTTGGCCTCTAGCCTTTACCACTAAAGGGCAAGGACAGAACCACCTGGAACAGGTACTGGAGCAGTGCCTGGTGAGGGAAGAGTCCCTCAGACCTGGGAATGTATGCACTGGAAAGCCCAGAAAGAATGATGCATGAAGAAAGCGCTTAGGAAAGTTGAAGCCAAGGATGCAAATGTGAAGGAAGGAGTGAGTAGTGGTATGAAACAGCGAGCATCATCCTCTGCACCAGAAGGGCCTGCTGGAAAAGAAGTGCAGGATAACCTGACTCCAAGATTCTATCAGGATGGTGAATGAAGGAAGAAGCTAGTGTTTCACAACTTCTGAGCTTACTTTGCATCCTGGGTGGTTGCTGCCATTTGTTTTCTTCTTTGGTGATAATTGTACGTCGTTTCTCTGCACGGTTCACTGCACAAATGATTTCACATACCCGCCCGAGCTGTGCTTTATTGTACTTTGTTTAAATATGCAAAATTGTATGCAACTCCATGTGACGTCTTATGCAAATTGCTTCTTGTGTTACTGTGCATATTTGAAATTAATTTGAGTATGATC